CGTACCATTCTTTCACGTCCTTACTCTGCTTCTTGACGGGCCTGCGGTCGCCGGGCTTGATGTTGCCGTTGCCCTGGCCGTTGACCATGGGCGTGGGCACCGTCGGGATGCCCTCGTAGTTCTTGGTCTCGTCACCTTTACGTCCCGTCGCGCCGCCCCTTGAACTTGAGGATGAGCAGGATGATGAGGATGACGATGATGAGGGCGCCCGCGATGATGCTGATGACGAGGGCGATGCCGCCGGACGCGTCGCTGTGGATCTGGCCCTTGGTGTTGGGCGTCCGCACCTTCGTGGGGTCGACGGGGTGGATCGGGTTCTCGCCGAACGGCCCCGTGTAGTCGTCGTACTCCGTCCCGCCGCCGATGTCGCCGTAGTTGACCGGCACCTGCGGGTCGACGGAGGGGAAGGCCGGCGCCGCGGTGGTCGGGCGCGGACGGGGCCTCGTCCTGGGCGTGGGCGTGGTGGTGGTCGTGGTGGTGCTCTCCGTGACGCCGTAGAAGGAGCGGGTGGTGGTGGGGCCGGAGCCGGGGTCCTTCTTGCCGCTCGGGCGCAGGGACTCCTCCGAGTGGATGATCTCGGGCTGCAGGAGCGGCTGGTTCGTCGCGGGGTTCTCCAGCTCCACGTCGTCGCCTGCGGGAGGAGGGGCTTAGGGCGGGGCTTTCGGGGTCGGGTCAGGGAGGGCTGACCGCTGACGGGAAGGACTTTGAAAAGAAGGGCGGGAAAAGAAGAGAAAGGAAGAGAAAGAAAGAAAGAAAGAAAGAAAAGAAAAGAAAGAAAGAAAGAAAAGAAAGAAAGAAGAAAGAAAGAAAGAAAGAAAAGAAAGAGAAAGAAAGAAAGAAAGAAAGAAAGAAAGAAAGAAAGAAAGAAAGAAGAGAAAGAAGAGAAAGAAAGAAAGAAAGAAAGAAAGAAAGAAAGAAAGAAAAGAAAGAAAGAAAGAAAGAAAGAAAGAAAAAGAAAGAAAGAAAGAAAGAAAGAAAGAAAAGAAAGAAGAAAGAAAAGAAAGAAAGAAGAGAAAGAAAGAAAGAAAGAAAGAGAGAAAGAAAGAAAGAAAGAAGAGAAAGAAAGAAAGAAAGAAGAAAAGAAAGAAAGAAAGAAAGAAAGAAAGAAGAAAGAAAAGAAAGAAGGAAAGAAAGAAGAAAGAAAGAAGAAAGAAAGAAAGAAATAGAAAACAAGGCGTCTACTGATGAGGAGAAAGCTAAATAGATCTATTATGTTCCATATTAACTAATCCATCAACTTCCTGACGTACGTAGTTTTACCTCTAACAGGTTCGTCTAAGTCCCCGCCTATTCTCAGCCTCTTTATGCCCTCGTTTTATTCGTCTCCCATTCCCACCTTCCGTTTTCCACGTCGAATTTACTTTTAACAAAAAAAAAAAAAAAAAAAAAAAAAAAAAAAAAAAAAAAAAAAAAAAAATCAAAATATTCTCCTTATTAATCTATCTCTTTGCCTAACTCTTTGTTTTATTCAAGTCCCCGTTAATTTTCTGCCTCTTTATCTCCTCGTTTTATCCATGTCTCTTCTTCGCACTTACCGTTCTCTACGTCAGTTTTACTAATAACACTACAACAATTTTTCTTCTTCTAAATCTTCCTCTTATTTCTCTTATCTCTTTGCCTCACTCCTTGTTTTATCGCTTATTCTCTGCCTCTTTAACTCCCCTTCCGACTTACCGTTTTCTATGTCAGTTTTAATTATAACACTAGTATATTTTTTTGCTTCTAACTCTTCCCCTTAATCCTCTATCTCTTTGTCTCACTCTGCTTATTCCACTTCCTCTTTCTCTCTCTCACTCTTCGTTTTATCCAAGTCCCCCCTTATTCTCTGCACCTTTATCTCCTACGTTTTATCCAAGTCCCTGCTTATTCTCTTCCTCTTTATCCCCTCGCTTTATCCAAGTCCCCGCTTATTCTCTGTCTCTTTATCTCCTACGTTTTATCCAAGTCCGGTCTTATTCTCTTCCTCTTTATCCCCTCGCTTTATCCAAGTCCCCGCTTATTCTCTGCCTCTTTATCTCCTACGTTTTATCCAAGTCCGGTCTTATTCTCTTCCTCTTTATCCCCTCGCTTTATCCAAGTCCCCGCTTATTCTCTGCCTCTTTATCTCCTACGTTTTATCCAAGTCCGGTCTTATTCTCTTCCTCTTTATCCCCTCGCTTTATCCAAGTCCCCGCTTATTCTCTGTCTCTTTATCTCCTACGTTTTATCCAAGTCCGGTCTTTTTCTCTTCCTCTTTATCCCCTCGCTTTTTCCTCTTCCTCTTTATCTCCTCGCTTTATCCAAGTCCCCGCTTATTCTCTGCCTCTTTATCCCCTCGCTTTATCCAAGTCCCCCCTTATTCTCTTCCTCTTCATCCCCTCGCTTTATCCAAATTTCCCCTTTCCACTTACCGTTCTCCACGTCCGTGAGAACCCCGTCGTCAGTGTTGAATTCCCCTGAACCTGAGCCGCCGTTGTAGCAATCCTCCTCGTCGTCGCAGGGCCTCGAACCCACGCCCACGTCGATGTCCGGGATGGGATGGCGCGGGGGCGGCTTGGTCACGGTGGTCATGGTGGGCGGGATGTATACGGGCGTGATGAGGTCGTCTCCTGCAGCAGAAGGGATGGGCGAGGGATGGAGGTTAAGAGGTGGTGGTGGTGTGTTGCTCTCTCTCTTTTTCTCTTTTTTTTCTTTCTTTCTCTCTGTCTGTCTGTCTGTCTGTCTGTCTGTCTGTCTGTCTGTCTGTCTCTGTCTCTGTCTCTGTCTCTCTCTCTCTCTCTCTCTCTCTCTCTCTCTCTCTCTCTCTCTCTCTCTTCTCTCTCTCTCTCTTCTCTCTCTCTCACACACACACAGACAGATACACACATACATACACGCATGCACGCACAAACACCTATATCTATTTATTTCTTTAATTATCTTTCTACTGTATGTACGGATATCTATATTCATCTATCTGTCTGTGTTGCTTTCCGAGTCTCGTATTAATCCGGATGTCAATACCCCCCCACTTCTCCTCCCATGATTTACCTATCCCTCTCTTTCCCTCCCTTCCTCTCTCTTTTCCCTACCTTTCCTATCCTTCTCTCCCCTCCCATTCCTTTACTTCCTCCCCGAACCTTTCGCTCTCCATAATTTCTTCTGTCTTTTCTTCTTCCTTTCTTATCGACCACTTCTTCTCACCCTATCCCGTTCCCTCTCTCTTTCTCTCTTCCCTCTCCCTCTTCCCTTTCTCTTCACTCCTCCATCCTTCCCACCAACTCTGTCCTTCTTCTGTCCTTCCCTTCCCTTCTCTTCTTCCTTACTCCTTCCCCCCTTCCTCTTCTCTCTCCACCCTTCCTTAGCTTCCCCCCTCTCCCATTCCCTCTTACCCACTTCTCCTCTTCCCTTCCCTTCCTTCTCTCCTCCACTCTCTTCCCCCCTTCTTCCCCTCTTACCAGAGCCCGTATCGAACACTGGAATGTAGGCCTACTCATCCCCTCTCCTCCCCTTCCTCCTCTTCCCTCCCTCCTCTCATTCCCCGCATCTTTCCCTTCCACCTTTCTTCCTCCCCTCCCCACTCCTCCTTTCCCTCCTCCTCTCTCTCCTCCCTTCTTCCCCTTCCTTTCTTACCAGCACCAGTGTCGAACACAGGAATGCACCCCCCCCCTCCTCCTCCTCCTCCTCTTCCCCCTTCCTGCTACACTCTCCTCCCCCTTCCCCCTTCCACTCCCCAATATCTTAACAGAACCTGTGTTGAACATTGGAATACACTTGTTCCTCCATCTTCCTTCCCTCTTCCTCCTCTATACCCCCTTCCCCCTCCTTCTCACCTCTCCTCTCCCCTTCCTCCTCCTTCCTTCCTCCCTTCTCACCTCTCCTTCCCCCCTTTCTCTCCTCACCTCTTCTTCCCCCTTCTCTGCATCATCTTACCAGAACCCGAGTCGAACACCGGGATGCACCCTCCCCACCTCTTCATCCTCTTCCCCCTTTTCACATTCTCCCCTCTCCTTACCCCTTTTTCCCTTCCTCTTCACCCTTCCCCTCCCCATCTCCCTCCCTCCTCCTCATCCTCCCCTTCCTCCTCTCTTCTTCCTTCCTCCCCCCTTCCTCCTTCTCCCTCCCCCCCTTCCTCCCCAGCATCTTACCAGAACCCGTATCGAACACCGGTAAACATCCTCCTCCTCCTCCTCTCCTCCCCCTTCTTCCCACCATTCTCCTCCCCCTTCCTCCTCCTCCCCCTCCTTCCTTCTTCCTCCTCCTCCCCTCCCCCTTCCTCTCCCCAGCATCTTACCTGAACCCTTGTCGAACACCGGGATGCACCCTCCCCCTCCTCCTCTCTTCCCCCCCCCTCCCCTTCCTCCTCCCCTTCCCTCCTCCTCTCCCCCTCCTTCCTTCTTCTCTTCTTCTCCCCCCCCCCCCCTTCCTCCTCCCCAGCATCTTACCAGAACCCGTATCGAACACCGGGATGCACTCGTCCCTCCTCCTCCCTTCCTCTTCCTCCTCTCTTCCCCTTCTTCCTTCCTCCCCCCATTCCCCCTCCTTCCTCCCCCCTCCCTTTTCCCCCCCTTCCTCTCCCCAGCATCTTACCAGAACCCGTGTCGAACACCGGGATGCACTCGTCCTCCTCCTCCTCTCCCTCCCTTCTTCTTCCCACCATTCTCCTCCCCCGTCCTCCTCCTCCCCTCCCTTCCTCCTCCCCCTTTCCCTTCTCCAGCATCTTACCAGAACCCGTATCGAACACCGGTATACATCCTCCTCCTCCTCCTCTCCCTCCCCTCTTCTTCCCACCATTCTCCTCCCCCCTTCCTTCCTCCTCCCCTCCTTCCTTCTTCTTCCTCCTCCCCTCCTTCCTTCTCCTCCTCCCTCCCTTCCTCCTCTCCCTCTCTTCCCCCCTTCCTCTCCCCAGCATCTTACCAGAACCCGTGTCGAACACCGGGGATGCACCCTCCCCCCCCCCCTCCCCTTCCCCTCTTCCTTTTCTTCCCTCCTCCTCCTCCCCTCCTTCCTCTCCCCCCTCTTTCTCTTCTCCTCCCCCCTTCCTCTCCCCAGCATCTTACCAGAACCCGTGTCGAACACCGGGATGCACCCTCCCCCTCCCCCCCTCCCCTTCCCTCTTCCTCTTCTTCCCTCCTCCCTCCTCCCCCCTCCTTCCTCTCCCCCTCTTCTCTTCTCCTCCCCCCTTCCTCTCCCCAGCATCTTACCAGAACCCGTGTCGAACACCGGGATGCACCCTCCCCCTCCCCCTCCCCTTCCCTCTTCCTCTTCTTCCCTCCTCCCTCCTCCCCCCTCCTTCCTCTCCCCCTCTTCTCTTCTCCTCCCCCTTCCTCTCCCCAGCATCTTACCAGAACCCGTGTCGAACACCGGGATGCACTCGTCCTCATCGTCCATGTCACAGCCCGACCCGGCGCCGCTGAAGACCAGGTCGTCGCCGTCTCCTGGTTTCGGTCCCGGAAGCGGCGGAGTCTGGAAATGAGGAGGAAAATGAGGATAATGAGGGGAAAGTGGGGATAATGAGGGGAAAGTGAGGATAAGAGGAAAGTGAGGAGAATGAGGGGAAAGAGGAGGAAAAGTGGGGATAAGGAGGAAAGTGAGGAATGGGAGAAAGTGAGGATAATGAGGAAAGAGGACGATGGGGAAGGAAGTAAGGACAATGGGGAGGAAATTGAAGATAATGGGGAAGGAAGTGAAGATGATGGGAGAGGAAAGTGAGGATAGTGGGGAAGGGAGTGAGGCTGAGGAGGAAAGAGGATAATGAAGAAAGTGAGGATAATGAGGGGGGATGAGGAAGTGAGGATAATAACGAAGAAAGTGAGGATAATAATGAAGGAAAAGAGGATAATGAGGAAAGTGAGGATAATTGGGAGGAAACTCAAGATAACGGGGATAAAAGTGAATCGTACTTAATTTCAATAAAAATTTAAAAAAAAAAAAAAAAAAAAAAATTCTAATCGACTCCAGGCCCTAAAGATTCGAACCCAATCGAACCTTCAACCCAAACCTTCGAGTCTCACCCTCTGCCAGTAGTTGAGTTCGTCCTTGCTCTGCACAGGGAGGGTCTTGGGGACGGAAAGCAGGAGGTGGACATCTCCCCGGACGTTCACCCTGGGGTCCCTCTCGGCTGCCAGGTCCAAGGGGCGCTCTCCGTTCAGGACCAGGCCGGAGATGATACCCTGGGGGAGAGCGGAGGGGGTGAGAGGGAAAATTGACCTGCGGGGGGGGGAAGATAATCGACTGGGGGGAAGATATAGTCAACTGGGGGGAGAGCGGAGGGGGGTGAGAGGTAAAATTGACCTGCGGGGGGAAAGGTAATCGACTGGGGGGGGGGGGGGGAGATACAGTCAAGTGGGGAGAAAAAGTTGACGTGGGAGAAGAAAAAGTCGACTGGGTGATGACGTATGATGAGGCACAATGAGTATGGTTGGTTGGAGATGAGTTGTAGTGAAGCAGTGTGGTTTATGACGAGTTTAGATGAGTTAGAGGCATTTATTTGAGTTGTGGTGCGATGGGGTGTGATGTATCTGTGTGTATGTGAATAATACAAAAAATGTTTAACCATTTCATAAAATTCGGCAGCAAAAAGAGAATAGAACATTCCTCACTGAAAACACACACAGAGTGAGTGAGTGAGTGAGTGAGTAGTGAATGAGTAAGTGAGTGAGTGAGTGAGTGAGAGAGAAAGAGAATTATAACCAATATGTCAAACACAGTTACCATAACCCCAAACGATGAACATACCCACCCCTGAACGAAAGCGGAAGAAAATCCAATCCCCCAAAACAAGGGAAACTCACCCTAAAGGGCCTCTCGATGGCCGTGGACCTTCTTGCCCTTCGACCTCCGATCTGAAGGCGTGACTGCGCATTGAAGACGGAGAGCTGGTGTCCTGCAGAAGCAAGCAGACGCTATAGGAACTCGTAAGGAAGAATCTCAAGGCGTGGGACAGTAGGATATTTTCCCTCGAAAGAGTACGTCTTTTTTCAAGATTCTAAGTAACAAATCTTCTATTACGGTTTGAGGGACTAAAAGGACTGTGTATTTATTCAAGTACTATATAAAAAATCGCATAACTTATTGAAAATCATTTATATGGTGGAATCAAGTTACTGTTCTCTCTAATTTTGGCTATATTGATTCTAAGTTAATGGTCGTTCTATATAAAATACCAATTATTTTTTAAAATTAAATTTGGCTATATGATAAGAGTCAAGGGGAAGACTCTGGTCAAGGTAATAAAAGACGAAGACAAAAAAGAAAGGACAGAAAAATAAAAATTCTTTTTTTTTTTTTTTTTATAAAAAACGAAAATGTTACTAATGTTTTCAAGGTGAACCTTCTAAACTCTCTCTACGGAACTAAGACCTACAGTGAAGATCGACCTTGAATTGGAAGAAAAAGCTTGATGCCTTAACCTTTCCAGTGCCAAGACAAGGGCGTGAGGCGGCCATCGAGTGCCAAGTGCCAGACGAAACCACAAGTCCTTGAGCGACCGGAGTGCGTGAGGGAGAGGAGTGCCAGGTCCAGAGGGCCAATGTGCCATATTTCGAGATTTTTTTGTAATTCAGTATTATTTATTATTTTTTTATTCATTAATATTATCATTCATATTAGATATCTAAAACGAAATTTTGAGAAAATCAAAATTTTAGCTTTAGCGGTGTTAAACAGTTAGTTAATTGGAAGCTAAACAGGTAAAAGGTATTCACGAAAATATCATTAAATAAATGGTTGTCGTATGCATGTACCCAGTGACATACAAAAGATCAATAGTGAAAGTACATTCTAAGTACCGCAGTAAAACCGACAACCATATTTAAAATTTTTGTGCTTACAAACATGATATACGTATATATACTGGAATACGCACTGGTATTAGTATTTTTTTGTCAATCTAATCCATACGCTAAATTATTTTCGGCATAGAATTTCTTATTAATTCTTTATTTCTCCATTTAAGAGACTAAACGCAAGCAATAACTTACGTGGCTTTCTCCGTCTCCCTCAGACAGACCAGTCAGTCGGTAAATAAAACAAATTGGTGCAGTATATATTTGATTTTTTTTTATATATATAGTTTTCAGTGCTGGAAATTCCAATCCATGCTTAGAGGGAGAGCGGTGCGTGGGGTCGGGAGTGGGGGGGGTGGGGGTCGAAGCACGAGGAACTTCTCTTTTGGTGATTCGGAAAGATTTCGTGTTTTTTTTTTTTATCGTGGGTGTGTATGCTTACGAATTGTACAAAGCAGTGTTTGCGGGAGATTCAGTCATGAAGAGCGGTAGCAGAATTAGCAATAATTATAATGATTAGAGGAATTGCTGTTTCTGCTACTATTACTACTGCTGTTTTTAAATAATTGCAGTAGTGATAATAATAACAATCTTGAAATAATATCATTGTTATATACATTATCACGATTATTACCATTATCGGCACTACCATTATTATTGTTGTAACTATAACGATCATTAACGCAAACATAATTATCAAAATTATGTCTATTCCCCCATTCATTAACAAAAGATGGGTAGAGAAAAGGAACTGAAATACCTTATTTCCTTTTTCTCTATTCTGTTTATATATCATTCAAAACGACCACATTATTTACACTAAACAGCTGATCTACCCGAATCATTTCCAGGAGCCACCGCCAGAGAAGTCCCACTCACAATCACTACTTGAGGAGAGGGAGAGAGAGGGGGAGAGAGAGAGGGGGAGAGAGAGGCCAGTGACCCAGAGGGCTGTTGAGAGAGTGTGTCCTCAAGCACGTGACATCGGAGGTGCCTCGTGACTCGAAGCATGCAGACTCTTTGGGGAGGAATAGGGTAGGGTTTAAGGGTTAAGGGTTAAGGGGTAGGGGATGGAAGAGGTCTAATTTACCCTCTCATCCTTCCCCTTTCCCCTCTTCCTTTCCTCTCTCCTCCTCTTCCTCCCTTCCATTACATGGAGTAAATAAAAAAAAGGTATATATTTGTCTTGTGCGGTTGGAGAACGTTGTTTTGATATTAATTTGTGTTTTTATTTATATATATAGACGGTGAAGACAATATGCATATCTGGAACGAGACATCATCTGAAAGACTAATTGTCGAGAATGAATGAGAAGTGATAAATAAACTGATAAAGGAGTGAATAAGGATTTAAATAAACGATAACACGACATACTGTGGTGAACGAAAGACATGAAATAAGGAACGGGACACGAGACATACATAAAATATAACGAAAGATACATGAAAGATAACGCTGATAATAATAAGTAAAGTAATAAATAGGTAAATAAAAGAGTCATTTGCTGTTAAACCCAATATTTAAACAAGTAGAAGTAGATGTGATGTAAACAGACATGGGAAAAGGGCTTGACTATGACCAAGTATATACTGATATAAATGTGTAGCAACTTTAGTACAGAATAAAACTGAAGTTATGTATGTATTTATAACTCTGGAATGAGTGGGAAATATAGACATATATATTATATGTGAATGACAAAAAAATAACATTGAGGATAATAAAAACGTATTATTGTGTGTTTAGGAAAACATACCAGAAAAAACACTTAACTGACTGAAATGAAAGCTCATACAACAGAAAGGGTTGTGAGAAAATATATTGCAGAACGGACAGTGTTGACACATTACAATGCTGGTGATGAAATAGAGAGATATATACTAGAAATACAGTGGATGTGCTCTTGGAGTGTTGGCAAAAGGTGCTGAAACGTTTCAAAGGCCATTGATAGTGAAAAGATAAAGGCATATATAAAGTGCTGACAGACTGTAGCGATGGTGTTGACATCATAACAGACAAAAAGTGTCGACATAAGACGAGCTGTGTTGTCAAAAGGCCGAGAGATGGTGACGAGGATTTGTTGTGCAAAACAGCGTAGTGCGTGCCGTATATACACACTGCGTTAGACTCAGCTGGTTAAAGGGGACGCGAGAACTGATAAGAGGTTCAGTTTCTACTTGTCTCTGTTATCGTTATCGTTCTGGTTGAAGGGGGGGCGGGTCCTGCCAGCTGAGTCTACCTCAGTGAAGTACCATTAGAAGCTACAAAAGGCCCAGAGCCTCGGGAACAGAACAATCGGAAAAGTGTTTGCATCGGAGTGGAGCAGAGGCAGTTCTCACCATGCCAGATCCGAGACCTGAGTTTCTTCAACACTTTGAGGTCAGAAAGCTCAACATTCTCTGCAAGGAAATGAGGTCAAACAGTTTTGTAAACGTCCTACGATGGTTAGGTAGCCAAGATGTTCAATCCCCGTCCGTGGGTGATGGGCGTGAGTGTCCCTTGGTAGTCGGAAGATATTTAGTTCAAGGATCATAATGCAAAGAGGAAGCCCCCATCCTTAGGGTTGGTCCTTTGGTATTGTACACACACTAAAGGTATCCTCCATATGCAATGGCACATTGGAAACTGTTGTCAAAAAGTCAGTTATGTAAATGGAGCAAATTGGATTAAAAAAGCATACCAAAAACCAGTCTAATTGCTTAGCCTACAAGGTCATTAATAAAAGTACAGAATACCTCCTTCCGCGACTGAAGCATGGTAGTTGGAATGGGCGTTAGTCGTGGAGTTTAAAATTGCTGAAGAGCTCACATTACCATTGAAAGAAACGAAGGCCATCGCCATTCTTTTCCATTGTTCTTCAATTATACACGTGAATAGTGTTCATATGCGTATTGCTGAGCCTTCGAAAATTGTGTACAGAATAAAAATCACCCGGTAAAGGAGAGTAATATGAATTCCATAGCATAAATACGACTACAAAAATACCCCCCAAACAATCTCATTACTCCTTTCCAATGGCTTTCAGAAATGCCAAAAAATGTTGATCTTTTCGATGTCTCTTTCACAGATTTAAGCGACTCCTTTAACACACATTGAGACATATACAGTTTGCATTATGTACATACACCGCGACAGGACCAAAAACCAGAGCTTAAGGAGGATAGATTTCACAATACAAAAACAATACATGACAAACGGGTGGACGTGAGATACAGGTCTGGTGGACACAGAAAGCCTCTACACGATATAGTTGTAGAATAGATTAGGAATAATTTATTTTTTAAAATGAGGTGTTATTATTTCAGGGTTATATTGTATACATTTCTCAATACAATCAGTAATCATAATTATTGTGTTTATTATCATTCTTGTCACTATTAACGTTGCAATTATTCTTTTCATTATGATTATCATCGTTAGTGTACTATTATCATTGTCATATTTCTCTTATTACTATGACTATCATTATTTCTCTCTCTATAATATCATTCAATCTTTACCATATCCTTTCATTCTCATAATAGCTAGTGTCAATATATATTTCCATATCACTGTTCTCATCAATTACTTTTCATTTATACTTACAGTTATTATCTTGTCCATTTCATTCATTACAATCGCTATTCGTATAAAAAATATTAGATTTTATATACTCTTTAAACTAGAAGTGACAATGACCAACATTCTACAATGATAAATAATTTGATGTGAGACTTGGCATTGAAGAAAATACTGGACCCTCTATTACAAAATATATATGACTTCGCATGGAATTTACAAAAGGTGATACTAGGATAAAATATAGAAAGGTAATTTGTATTTATGAGCAATTTTATACCTTATTAATAATATAACTCATATTACCCATCCTTATTCAAAATCTTAAAATCATTGCTGTATTTCCATCGTCTTTTCATAAATAATATAGATAGCGCGCGCGCGCGCGCGTGTGTGTGTGTGTGTGTGTGTGCCTACCTACAAAGATACATACATATATAGATACATACATATACATACATATATATATATATGTATATATATATATATACATATATATATACATGTATGTATGTATGTATATATATATATATATATATATATATATATATTATATATATATATATATATATATATATATATATATATCCGAGCGTGTGTGCGTATTTATGTATGCATTTTTACTTTTATTTATTTTATTTTTTTTTTTTTATTTGAGCATCTTTATATATTAGATTTGATTCCATTATATACACTCTCTACTTGTTCGACTACCTTTTACTCAAAATTACTTTATTTCATTATATAAGGTAATATTAATAATGATACCGAGGCTGTGATATTTTTTCTTTTTTGAAAAAAAAATCAGTAATCAGCATTACTATATGAGAATTTGTGCTTTTTATAATCTGAAATGCTCGCCGATTCAGTAAATAATCTTCTCCATACTATAGTTCTTGCTGTCTTATCTTTATCTTACACATTAAATGCAGTTTCTGTGCAAAAAAATCCCTGCATTTCATTCAAGAGATATAATCATGTAAGATATAATCACACAGAAAATGATCATGAAAAATGAGTATATGCTCGTATTCCCTGGAAGCAATGACGATGCATTTATTACCGTATTCCATGGGAAAATGAAATGCAAATATATCTTATAAAATAGGAATATAACAGTGCAAATATGCTCGTAATCCCAGGGAAATATAAAAAGCAATGCATTTATGCTCGTATCCAATGAAAAGAACGTAGATGCAAAATAAAAATGCAAAAATGCTCGTACTCAGATACATGGAAAGCATTGCATATATGTTCAGATCCAATGAATAGAATGAAACAATGCACAATATACTCGTATCCCCTGAGAAAAAAGAAAACAATTCAATTACACTCAAATGAGAAGAGCCAAACATCATTACGCTCGTATCCACTTCTCGAAACCCCTGAGAACCGAAAATACAAATACGCCCGTTATCCCCTCAAAAAAAAAAAAAAAAAAAAAAAAAAAAAAAAAATCGACCCCAAAAAAACCCGAAATCTCACCTTTGGGATTCTTAGAACGAACTTCGTAGTCGTCGATCTGCACCGTGGCGTTGGAGCCTGACCTGATGAAGCGGACCACGTGGTAGATGCCGTCGTTGACCTTCGCCATGACCTCGCCTATGGGGTGGTCCTCCGTGCCCATGTTGTAGACCATGAAGATGTTGCCGTCGACCTGGAAGAGGAGTGTGTGAGAAAAGGAAAAGGAAAAAGGGGCATTCGTAAATAAAAGATAAAGGGAAAAAGGGCATTCGTAAAAAAAGGAAAAAGGACATTCGTAAAAAAAGAAAAGAAAAAGGGCATTCGTAAAAAAGGAAAAGAAAAAAGGGGGATTCGTAAACAAAAGAAAAGGAAAAGGGACATTCGTAAAAAAAATGGAAAGGAAAAAGGGACATTCGTAAAAGAAAAAAAAGAAAGAAAAAAGGAGAATTCGTAAAAAAAGAAAAGGAAAAAGGGACATTCGTAAAAAAAAGAAGGAAAAGGGAAATTCGTAAAAAAAAGAAAAAGGAAAAAGGTGCATTCGTAAGGGGAATGGAACGAACTTGTGATTTGTTTACTCTGAAGGGGCGTGGCCATCATATTGGGGAAAGATGAAGTGAAAGCATGGTGGAATAATCTTTGAGGATTATCTATTATAAATGTCACTAAAGAATTTCACATCTATTTTTGCGTATATTTAATACATGTCTATCAAATGATTGCCAAACTAATCATAAATTCCAGAGGTTCAAGAATATATATTTCCTTAAATAAATTCATTCTTACGATCTCCAGCTCCATGTAGTCATTCGAATTAGCCGAGTCAAGCCTCAACATGACCGCATCCTCCTGTGAGGTCATGAAGCCAAGCGCCAGCAGGTCACGGCGGGTGTCAGGCCATCTGCCCTCGGGGTACTGGAAGGTCATAATGCCAGCGCCACCTCCGAACTCATACGCCGTGGACTCTGGAAGCGGTGAGTCAGGTGAGTCAGCAAAGGTATTCGGGAAGGACTCACCGAAGGACTCACTGGATTTTCCATTTCCCTCCTGGTAGGCTTCTCATTAGCCAATCAATGTCTGATTATTTTCTCTCATAGTAACGTGTATCTTTCCCTCGAAGAAAAGCAAAAAAAAAACAAAAATTATTTTCTCTCATAGTAACGTGTATTTAAAAAACGCTATCTTGTAGTTATCAAAATAATTGTTATTCAGTGATCAAGGAAACAAGACATAGGGATGTCCTCACCATCAGAGCAAGTAGGACCGGTGAAGGATGTCATGTCGCAATTGCACGAATAGGAGTTCCACTGTTGCACGCACGTCCCGCCATTTGCACATGCATTCCGGTGGCACTTTGTACTTGGCCCTTAGATGGAGAGAGAAAAAAAGGGATGTTCAAGCGAGATAAATACGAAACTCAATAGGAAATACATTCATTGGGAGATGAGTTTTGGTTGTTCATTTCGTTATGTTTGTTTATATTCATAGGAAGAGCTTCTTTGGTATTTTTTTTCTTTTTTTCTTATACATGTATCGAAAATAACTCCCACGTTTATGCATTGCTCCCAGTGAATATACAGAGAAAATGACAATGGATGAGAGAAGAATACAAAGACTTGAAACATATGATGATTAAAACCATAAGAAATAATCTGTAATCTTCCCAATGAACACAGAAAAGGGAAAAAAAAAAAAAAAGGGAAAAGAAATAAGAATATAGAAAAAAAAATCACGATTAGAAGTATAAGGAAGAATCAGTGATCGACGCCGTAGAAATAAAATAGATCACGATAAAATATAAGGAAGAATCACTGATCTTCGACGCCGTAGAAAAAAATAAGATCATGATAGAAGTATAAGGAAGGATCAGTGATCTTGGACGCACCATCACAGCCTGAGAAAACGGGGCTTGAGATCAGGGGGACGTCCTTGCCCACCGGGTCTGGGGCTTCGCCGTTGAGGTCGAGGGACGCGATGCAGCCCTCGAAGCCCGTGCGAGACTCGACGTGGCGAGGAAGGCTGGTGTACATGTCGGGGGGAAGGCCACCTGGGGAGGGAGAGAGGGAGAAATCTGGGTGAACGTTTGAGGAGAGAGAGTGAACGTTTGGGAAGAGAGAGGGAGGCTGGTGAACGTTTGAGAAGGAAACTTTCGTGGACGTTTGTGGAGAGAGGAGAAATTTGAGTGGACGTTTGGGGAGAAAGAAGGGGAGATTGGGTCAACGTTTGTGGAGAGAGGAGAAATTTGAGTCAACGTTTGGAGAGAGAGAAGGGGAGAATGGGTCAACGTTTGTGGAAAGAGGGGAAATCTAAGTCAACGTTTGGGGAGAGAGGAGAGATTTCGGTAAACGTTTGGGGTGAGAGATTTTGGTATACGTTCGTAAAGAGAGGAGAACTTTGGACGAGCGAGGGAGGAAAAGAAGAAATAGCGAGACATCAAAATCCAACTTAATAGACCTCAGACCCAAAATGAGCCGAACGCGAACGACGAAGAACGAACACTGATAAAAACCAACAACAGCACGAGTCCCTCCTGCCATACCTAGATAGAGGAAGCCTTGCAGATCCAGGTTACCGTTGTTCCCTCCGCTGATAACCTTCGCGGTGTTGTCGTCGACCATGAGGGTGTGCTGTCGCTTCGAGGGGCGGCTCACTGTCACGGCGTGCCACTTGTTGTCATTCAGGGGCATCTTGTTGTTGTCTCTCACCCGAACCGGCCGGTCGCCGAGGTTGAAGATCAGGTGGATGTGTCCGTTGACGAGCTCGACGGCCAGGAAGTCGTGACCTGCAGGGGAAAGGAGGAGGAGGTAGGAGGGCGTGAGGAGATTGGGGGGAAGAAGGGAGAAGTGAGATTCAGAGATTGGGGGGAAGCGTGAGAGAGGTTTGAGATTAGGAAGGGAAGAGAGGGCGTGAGATTCAGGTGGAGATTGGGGAACGAGGGAGATTGGGGTGAGAGGGAGGTATGTTGTCGTGGAAAGGGGTCGGAGGTAGAAGGAGGGGAGTAATGTCGGGGTGTGGAGTTTGATAGGAACGTGAGGTGTTGTGGAGCAAGGGTTTTGTTTCAGCATTTATTAAAGCACACGCACACTTATTTCTCTCTCTCTCTCTCTCTCTCTCTCTCTCTCTCTCTCTCTCTCACATACATACATAAACAAACAAACAAGAAACAAAGAAACACACACAAACACATCAATACAGAAAAAAAGGAAGAAAACAAAAAACGTAGAAAAAGTAGAAGAAAAGCAGGAAAAAAATCAGAATCAGAAGAAACAGAAAACCAACAAGAATAACAAAAAAAGAAAAGAAAAAAAGAGAGAGAGAGAAAAAAAAAGAAAATGAGAACCCCCATCATACCTTTGCCTCCATTGAACATAATGAGAAAAATGAGACCAGAAACATACAGAGACCTCAGACCCCCCACACACACACATACCTTTGCCCCCATTGAACATAATGAGTCCGTTGGGCTGCAGGGTCTTGAACTGGAAGTAGATGTTGGTGGAGGAGTAGGCCTTGAGCTGCGGCAGGGCGACGAAGGCCGAGCGGGACTTGAAGGTCACGGGTGGTGGACGATGCGGGCGCCCTTGCCGAACTCCGCCGTCACCTGCAGGAGGGAGGGGGCGTCAGGAGGATTCCGAGATTTCAGAGGATTCCGAGATTTTGAGAGGATTTCGAGAGAGAGGAGAAAGTGGTTGGTGGTTTTGGTTGGATTGGGGGGTGGGTAGGGTGGGGGTGGTCAGGATGGGAGGATGGAGGATGGGAGGAGAGGGTTGTTGGTGAATGGATGGGAGGAGGGGGGTTAGATGAAAGGATGGGAAGAGGGTGTTGGGATGAGAGGATGGGTAGGGTGAAGGATGAGGATGGGAGTGGGGTGGAAGGATGGGAGGATGGGGGTGTTGGTGGGGTGGAAGGATGGAAAGGGAGTGTTGGTTGGCTGGAAGAATGGGAAGAGGGTGTTGGTTGGATGGGAGGATGGGTAGAATCGAAGGATGGGAGGATGGGGTTGTTGGTGGGGTGGAAGGATGGGGGATGGAAGTATGGGAAGGGAGTGTTGGTTGGTTGGAAGGATGGAAGGATGGCAACATTGATAAGCTGAGCGGATATGAAGGTGGTATCATAGAGATTGATTTGGTGTTTGGTCATGGTGTCCGATAATCATGGATAGCACAATACCATTAGTTATATTTAATGATGTCATGGTATTATATTGTGTCAATACTAAACACAACTGGATAGCCTAAGAGTAGTGTCACTTGTAGGATTCGGGATGAATTAACATGATGGTGTTTGCAGGACTCGTACAGACAGAATGTTGGATAATGATGATCATACTATGGAAATTCCTGGATAATGTTACTGGCAGGATTCGTAGGGGGGGGGGGGTGACGAAGTGCTAATCACTAATCATGCGATATAATCATGTTTTGCTATCTTTGGCAAGGAGATATAACGAAGATGTTTTGTTATTGGTATTCAGTAGGATATGGGACTATTACTGATAGCTTACATGAGGATTTTAAGGGATCTGAAGTTTTTGATATTTTAGTGTTATTAAACATAATGCGCAATCGAAAAAGATACAATGTTCGTCATGACATTAATAATAATTGCAGATATTTGTCTAATTGCAATAGTTGTCATGAACAGGATACGATGATGCAGACATTGTTATATATATCTTTATCCTGTTATATCCTCTAGTTCATGTTACAATAATACAAGTGGAATTTGTCGCTAGTGATAATAATGTTGACAAGATCTGCTTAGCATTGTATTTCATATATTTCCTTTGTGCATATTATAGGATTTATCAGAGAGCAGCTGGATGTATATTTACAATAGTCTTTAGAATATATTTATCGTATTAAAGTATTTTCAATTACTTGAAAGTAGAATATATCAAAATATAATTTCATGAATTATTTGTATAGATTTCGCGTTATTCACTGGAATGTCTGTGGCACAAAATACTAATTACATTATCATTATTATTATTTTGATGCCAACAAATCTTCCACAAAGTATTTACCGAAATATCTTTGATCTTCGATTACCTTACAGCTCTTTAATCCTTTACGATCTAGAATAATAATTCATATCATTATCATGACATCTAAATCATTACATTTTCCTCTTAAAAAGATCGAAAAAACTCATTATCATGACCTTTAATCATTACATTTTCTTCTTAAAAAGATCGAAACAACTCACCTCAAATCTGTCGCCGTGGCCAGAACGAGCCATTTCAAACAGGTATTCTCCATTCATGTAAAAACTCTGCATTTGTCCTATAAAGGGAGCCACGGGGCCTTGGTTAGAGCTGGTAGGAGACGGAGAAAGAGGAACGGAAGAGGAAGAGGACGTGGAGGAGGAAGAGGAAGAGAGAGAAGAGTAAGTGGAAGTGGGTCTCCATTTGTTGGTCGAGTTGTCATGAACCATGCCTATGTGGATGTCTCTGTACTGGAGTATGCTGTGTCGGCCCATGGTGTGGTCTGTGGGAGAGGGATGGCAAGTGGTTAGAAGTGGTAAGACTGGTGATATTCTTAGCTTAGAATTGGCAGTACTGTTGGTTAGAATTGGCAGTACTGTTGGTTAGAATTGGCAGTACTGTTGGTTAGAATTGGCAGTACTGTTGGTTAGAATTGGCAGTACTGTTGGTTAGAATTGGCAGTACTGTTGGTTAGAATTGGCAGTACTGTTGGTTAGAATTGGCAGTACTGTTGGTTAGAATTGCAGTACCGTTTAGAATTTGGCAGTAGTTGGTTAGAATTGGCAGTACTGTTGGATTTGGCACTAGAATGGCAGTACTGTTGGTTAGAATTGGCAGTACTGTTGGTTAGAATTGGCAGTACTGTTGGTTAGAATTGGCAGTACGGTTGGTTAGAATTGGCAGTACGTTGGTTAGAATTGGCAGTACTGTTGCAGTACTGTTGTGAATAACTGTTGACAAAATCGATGGCAACATTAAATCCTCATCATCTAGATTGATGTGAGCCTCATCAGAATACTCATCATTATCACCATGAAGCTTGACCTCACAGGCATCATCACCATCACATCCAGAGCTTTAATCACCCATGAAAATTCCTGCCATAACCACCAACGATTTTTTTTCGTCGAAATTCCTATCAATATATTCACAATCACTACCGTATGATCAACACTAATCTTAATTTCCCATTGAATTAAAATCCTTCTAAGATTAAGATACTGCATAACTTGTTGCCAATTATGACAGTGATAACTCTCCATTTCGGTTTCAGTGTTACCAGACCCACCTTGCACGGGCGTTTCCTTGTCCACTTGCAGCGTGATCTGTGTTGCACGTCGCACCAAGTGTACTGTGTGCCATTGGTGATCGTTGAGTCCGCTCCCGGCGTGTACAACCTGTAATGATCATGTTGGGTGTAATTCTCGTTTATTTTTATCATTATCATTGTTATCATCATTATCCTCCTCCTCCTCCATCTCATTATTATTATTATCCTTATCCTTACATTCATCATTATTCTCATCATTATCTTAATTATTATCATTATCATAATTATTATCATTATCATTATAACCATTATATCACTGTTAATACCATTATTATCAATGTTAATACCATTATCATCATTATTATCATCTATATCTCCATCTCTCTATTTCTCTCCCCCTTTCCCTTCCTCTTTATCTCCCTCACCTTATCCCGATCTCCCAACTTGACGGTGACTTCAGCATCCATTTATCTCTCCCTCACCCTCTCCTCGCTCTTTCTCTCTCCTATTTCTCTCTCTCTCTCTTTCCATCTATCTCTCTCTCTCTCTCTATTCCCTCTATTTCTCTTTCTCTCTCTCTCTCTTCTCTATCTCTCTTTCTCTCTCTCTCGCTCTCTCTCTCTCTCTCTCTCTCTCTCTCTCTCTCTCTCTCCCTCTCCCTCTCCCCCTCTCTTTCTTTCTTCTCTCTCTCTCTCCTTCTCCCCCCATCCCTCTCCCCTCCCTTCCTCCCCTTCTCTCCCTCCCTCCCCCCTCTCCCTCCCTCACCCCCCTCACCTTATCCCGATCCCCCAGCTTGACGGTGAGCCTCAGCATCCCCGACTGCAGCGCCAGCTCGATCTTGTCCGACGACTGCGGCGACGTGTGGCGACGAGGAGCCCCGCCGGCCGTTGGTGCGGAACCTGAAGGAGATGTCCTCCGCCTGCGTGCTGGACTCGTCGCCTGCCGTGACCTTGAAGTACTGGGTGCCCTCGAAGCTCAGGGTGGCGGCGTCTGCGGGTGAGGTGGTGGGTGGGTGGGGAGAGGGGTTGGGGGGGTAAGAGGGAGGGGTGGTGATGTGGGTGGGGGGGAGGGGAGGAAGGTAGGGAGGGGCAGGGGGTAAGAGGGAGGGAAGGGTGGGTAAGAGGGAGTGTGGGGAGGGGGGGAAGGTGAGGGGTGGGGGGTAAGAGGGAGGGGAAGGGGTAAGAGGGGGGTGGAGGGGGGTAAGGGGTGTCAGAGGGGAGGTAAAAGGTGGAAGGGGAAGGGAAGAAGCGGTGATAAAGGGGAGAAAAATGGAACGATAAGTTGGTATTATAATCATTATCATTATTAGAATTAACATTACCATTATCATTATACTGAAGCCAATAATTATGATGGTAATTATTTCATAATAAAAACGAGAAGGATTGTGATGATACTGATAACGATAATAGTAATATTAATGACGAGGAAAATAATAATGATAAAATCTAACATAATGATCATATTAACAAATAAAAAGTAAATATATAAAACAATAATAATGATCATAATAGCGAGAAAGATAATGATATTGCGATGATAATACTTAAAACAACAATACAAATGACAACAATGATAATGATAAAGAGGATAAAAGTGATAACAACAAAGATTAAAAATTCCTTAATCGATCGCTTATTCTCTCTGAAAAAAGTTTTTTTTTTTTTTTTTTTTTTTTTTTTTTTTTTTAGTTTCTCAAATGTTTCAGAAGTTGCTTTTTCCGGTTTTGTTTAGGCTTCAAGTTTTTTTTCCTTCCTTTTTTGAAGCGGAATACAACGGTGGTAGATAATGGTTATCATTATTGTTATCAATATTAGGATCATTACTATTGTTATTATTGTGATCATTATATTATCATTATTACTATATCATTATCATTGTTACTATTATCATTATCATTATTATTATCTTATCATTATTACTTTGCTATTAATCATCATAAAACATCACCATCATAATCCTCCTTCCTCCTCCTCCTCCTCCTCATTATCATCTTCTTCATCATCATCATTATCACTATTATTATAACTATCCTTATCATTTATTAACATCATTTTGTTGTCATCATAATCATCATCCGCATTTTCTTTTCTCTACTTACCCTCATGTTACTTATCTCATATCAATGCACCATTATCTCTATATAAACTAATGTACTTTTTCCCCTATCTCTCCCTCATCTCTACTGATTTACTTATTTACCTATTCATCTAACCAGCTCTCTTCCCTTACCCTTTTCCCTATCTCTCCCCCATTTCTACTGATTTACCTATTTACCTATTCATCTAACCAGCTCTCTTCCCTTACCCTTTTCCCTATCTCTCCCCATTTCTACTGTGATCTACCTATTTACCTATTCAACCAGCTCTCTGCCCTTACCTTTCCCGCAGGTGGGGCCGACGAAGGTGGTGTGCGAGCAGTCACACACAAAGCGGCCCCAGCCTTGTCTGCAGGAGCCACCGTGCATACAGGGGGAGGAGGAGCAGGTGCCGCCGTCGCTGTGGCAGAATTCGACGATGGATCCTGCAGGAGGGAGGAAGGAGGTGGAGGGGGGTTAGGTGAGGGGTAGGGGGGGGAGGGGAGGGGAGAGGGTGAGGGTGGGGTGGGGGTGGGGGGGTGGGATGGTGGTGGGGGATGGGAGGGAGAGGGGGATGGGTGGGGAGAAGGGAGGGGAGATGGGGATGGGGTGGGAAGAAGGGGATGAGGGTGGGGAGAAGGGAGGGGAGGGGAGGGGATGGGGTGGGGAGAAGGGGATGGGGGTGGGGAGAAGATGGAGGATGGGAAGAATTAAGGTTAGGTTTTTTATATTGATTGCTTATAAACGTTATTGTGTTTGTAACTGCTTTTTTTTCCTTTTGGCACACGTTAGTGCTTATATTTTCATCTTTATCATTTATACCCGTTACTGTGTTTGTAATTTAGATTCTCTTGTTTTTGCACACCACTACGTTCGCATCTGTTTTTATTTTACCATTTGCGCACGTCATCGCATCGCATTTCCCTCCAACCACTCCTCTCCTTACCCGAATCCTGCTTCTTAGCGTAAGAAGTGAGATCCGAAGCCTGTCCGTTGATCACCAAATCCCTCATGCATCCTACGTATCCTAGACCGAGGCGTCCAGTCCACAGCTCGGGGGGGACGCTGACCCCGACGCCAACGCCCCCGAGGTAGAGGGCGCCTTCGAGGTCCAGCTGGTGCGAGTCTCCTGCAGGGGAAGGGTATGAGATGTGTTTTGTTTATTTTGTTTATTTATTTATTTGTTTATTATTATTATTATTATTATCAT